TTGCTACCAAATTCTAGTTATGGATTTCGCTTGTCTTCGCAAACGTCTAGAAGACAAGGGTGGTTTTCACGATACCCTTGGGTGATGCCTCAGTGCGCCACGTCTAGCGTTCACATCGAGACTCTAATCTGGGCGTGAGTTCAGATTCACTGTCTAGGGCCTTAACTAAAGGCAGTTCTCTGTCGGGTCTTCGCATAAATTTGATCATCTCTTGGACACACAACAACCCCACTCGAGATGCCAACTATTTCAAAGCAGGCGCTAGCAAAGAACACGGGTACGAGGTGACTCTGTCCGACACCGTGAGCTATTGTGCGGCTGTAATACCACCTACCACTTTTGCTTCTGTCTTGAAGCTCAACTGCCTCTGGACCATCAATTCTGAGCCGGTCACCCAGCTCCCATAATATTTGTAGCCCAACCAATTCATAAGCAGCTGGCATTACCCATGGAAGCGCCTTTCACGGATCATGACAGTGTAGCTCACCACTGTTTTTCAAGAGAGCTGGTGGCGAGCTCTCCCACGTCCGTTTAAATATCAAGGCACACCGTACTTTTGCACTATTGAAGATAACGGAATTTGTCTCCAGTGTGACTGAGTCTGTGTCCCCAAAATATTTATCGGGTCGGTCCTGTATAGGGCAGCCTGAAATTTTAGGGCTTTTTGTGTGCGTTATGGCTTCTTAGAGCCAGAAGAGCCAAGATCATCATGGTCAATCGGTCGACTCGCTCCGGCAACTGATATGCAGGGTCTACAACGACCTCCGTGACGAGATTAAACATACCATGTGAGATATGTCAGACTTAATTTTCGAAAGGCAGTACAACTATTTATCTTTCCAAGATTAATACTCTTTTGCTGCCGACTCGCCTCGAAGAGATAAATTTTACTTTGTTTGGCCACTACCCACGCATCGCACCGAGGGATTCTGGTTTATCTTAAAACGACCACCGTAAAGGTTTATTTTGACTTTGGTAAGTCTAGGGTCCATGATGGCTTATGATTGCAGGTTTTCCGTGACGCGTGTCTTCAATGGGGTACTGTTTGCGTATTCCAGACCCATGCCGTTGCTTTTGGGGATGGCCACGTCACGTTCAGCTTGCTGCCAATGAGCGCTGGATGATAATTCCGGAAAATTACAGTGGGAGAGAGCTTTCTCATTCTCTTTCCCAGTGACGAAAGAAGTATCCGTGCTTTCTATGAAGCCTGCCGGCTTAAGCGGATATCATTACCCCTTCGTATAGAAGAAGTAAGCCCCTTGGAAGCGTAAATCGAGTTGTTGCCGCCCACCCACTTCAGTGACACCTCAGAACGTAAACATCGTTTATACCAGCCTTCTTTGGATGATCGGCTACAAACATCGACAGCCTAGTGTCCAACAATTGGGGCATCATTATTCAGAAGGTAGCGGTGTCCCGAACTGAAACAATGGTTTTAGGCAGACCATGATGACGGAGCTATTGACCAAAAACGGCCTGGCTGTCTGCGTCTCCGTTCTCTCAGCGGGAACTGGAGCAAGATGAACCGTCTTATCATTCGACGCGTGAGCTGTTGGTTCAACTTGTTACGCGTCTGTACATATGTGGATAATAAAGGATTTAACCGACCGAATGAACGATCTTCTCTAGCCCAAATGGCGCGTCGGGCGCCTCCAGAAGTACAACGTACTTCATGATCTCAATGTGTTTGTTGTGACGACTGTGCCAGCTTGAAGCAGATCATCAGCCCAATCAATCGCTCACCACCATTTACGGCGAATAGCGCTGATCTAGTATTACAGACGCAGATTCAAATCTAATCATACATCACGATTCACAATTCTTTCGCGGTGCAGTTCGATCAGCACTAGAGAGATCAAACACTTCTTTTAAGCGATACAGAACGGCGAAGACCAAGTCGAAAAATGTACCGGCTTCATCTCTACAAGCATCTTGGGATGCCTTTGTTCGGTTTTGAAACAACGGAACATTGATTTCGTAAGTCGACAGCGTGTTCGAAGCGAATCTATCGAGAAGAGAAGAGAATCTACGCTGATCGAGTGTTCGCTCGCAGCAGTCAAATAACATTTAATAGTCTTCCTCCATATCCCTGCCACAGCGACTTGATCGGCTAAGCGAATGGTATTCCCGGTTGTTTAGCCGAACTAGATTGATGCAAAGGATCTTGTTGCCGACACATTCTACTCATGTTCACTCGATCGAACATTTTCATGAAACACTTCGTGAGATATCCCGTGCTTCGTGTATAAACTCAGCACAATTTCGCAAGCATCTGATTTTTGAAGGGACATAAACTCTTTTTGGGGCTGAATAACCGAATTGGAAGTGCTAACGCCAGAATGAAGATAACAGTAGAATAATTTCCCAACGACAAGCATTGCTTAAGTATCTGCCGAAAAATGTGGAATACAAATGTGGGTGAAGGGAACTCAATGGTGTAGGCATTACCGATGTCGCTAAATAACTTGAATGACCCAAGATAACTGATCAAAGGTTGTGGCACATTTTTAAAAGGATAGCAGGACACAAAAACCAACGATAAGCTTCGATTATCGAATACTCACTCGAATCTGCGTATTCCTTATGCCAATATACCGCATCAGCAATCGAAAGATCAACAAAACGAATAACACTGACGTTTCTCGAGAAATGCGCTGATCAATCTCGCTACTATTAGTGACAACGCTTCTAAGGTTGGTATTGTGCTGTCAAAAAGGATAACAATGTCGATTATGAGATCCATCGTATCATATCGGATACCCGTTTGGAACCATCCAATCATACATCTTAAATTATTGAATGAGAGCCTCCTTAACATAGTAGTAGTATCATTTGCTCTTGTCCATTGCGACTTTTCATACAAAGCGTAAGGTTTGGTATCTAAATTTCTTCTTGATCCAATTGAGTCGTGTATTTATGGTGAATTTGCTTTCAGTAGTTTTCCGTCTCCTCACGTTATCGCTAGCTGTAGCTTCTACACTTTCCATCGAGCCTCAACCTCAAGCTGCCGATGCCTACACCATCGTAAATGCCGATAACCCGAAGAATATTCGACTTGATGCTAATCTCCTTATCCCCGATGGTGGAGAGCTTCTGCTGAGTATACAAGTACCTCACGAGCCAATTCAAGTTCAGCCCAGAGGACCTGCAAAGGTAGTGCGAGTTTATTCAGATCATGTTGACGATAAAATCGGGGAAGGGGAAGTCATCAACATATTTGTGAAATTTACAAGTGCAATTAAGCTGATGGGATCCGGATCTCCCCATCTACTTCTAAAGACAGGGTGCCACGAAAGTGCATGCCATACAAAGGAGATTCAACGACTGAGGTGCATGGCAACTGAGGGAAAATTCGCAGTTGGTTTCGGATCCCAGAAAGTTGGCAACATTCCTTGGGACGCTTCGGCTTATACTTTTGCTGAGTACTTGACGAGAATAACTAGTATTCACAAAGTAAGCGTCACATATAGCATTGACGAGGACCGAGCGTGTACATTTTTTGGAAACAACATCACAATCACCTTCGATTCTATGAACATTGAAGGAGCAGATGGAAATTTGGTCGAAATGACGGGTGACAAGACCAATGCAGTGGGTGACGGAGAAAAATTGAGGCATGTCATGTACCAGCCCTTGTTGACAGAATCAGCGTGGGAGATTCAAAGAGGGGTGCATAGATCGGATAGGAAAGCGGAGTTTATGATGCAAACAGCTTCTGACACTCTCAGGTTTGAATATACGGTACAAAGGGGGGATTCGACAAAGAAACTCGAGTACACAAATGTTGACTCGCTTACGCTGTCACTTCGAGCGAATGATAATACACGAATATTAAACGATGACAGTACTAATACGGTTGCGAACACAAATTTACCACCTCCAGGATTTGCGGGGAATTGGGAACGAGGAGTTGGCACAAGTTTGTCAAAGTCTAGCTCACTAGAAATCGATGTGATACCTCCATTTATCACGACAGTGACTTCTCCTAATGAAGATGGAACTTTTGGTGAAGGTGATGAAATTTTAATACATGTGCATTTCTCCAAGTCGATTGCGATAACTGGCGTACCAACTTTGACTTTGATGACGAGAGTGCTGGAACGTAAAATTCCATTCAGTCAGGTAGTAGCAGGAAATATTGCCGAGTTTAAGTACATTGTTCAATCGACAGATATGTCTCCAGATCTCACGTATTCGGGCACGACAGCGTTGCAGCTTAATGGCGGATCTATTAGAAGAAAGTCGACGTTATCTGTCACCAATGCTGTGCTTTCGTTACCTGTGATTGGCGAAATTGGAAGCTTATCTGTGAACAAAAATATTGTCGTTGACACTTCAAATCCAAGAATTTTAAGCGTAACTACCACAGTAAAATATGGAATTTACACGGCTGGAGACGAAATACCATTATTAATCACGTTTGACAGACCTGTAGTTGTGACTGGGATCCCTCAATTACTCTTAGATACTGGCTCAATCGACTTGTTTCCGGGTGACTTTGTTGTACGGGCTCCAACACGCACTTCAAGCAAGACTGTAGTCTTCCCGTCAAATTATCTTTTTACAACGTTTGAAAAAGGCCTTCAATTTAAGATTGACGGCCAGATTCTCACTGTTGAAACAGTTAACAAAGATGAAGTGACTATGGTAGAAATGTACACAGCTACGACAGTGAACTCTGCGAGTATCGCATTAGGAGCTGCTATACCAATTTACACTCCAGGTTATCGACCGGCCAAATATTTGAATGGCACTGGGACAAACGTGCTGACGTTTGTTTATATGGTACAAATTGGAGACGTCTCGCCTCGTCTTGCTTACCTTTCCACTTTGGCTGTAAAAGTAGGAGCAGGATCGATTAAACAACTGACTGCAAGACCATCTACAGATGCTGATCTTACACTTCCAGCACCTGGAGCTGATGGAAGCTTGAGTGCTTCTGCAGCTCTTGTCATTAACACGGATGCTCCTCGAGTGACACAAGTAAGAGCAGTAACGCGCGATGGTGTGTACAGAGCTGGTGATGCCATTTACTTCGAAGTGATTTTCAATTTGCCTGTTGTAATTTTTTCGGTAGCCTCACTTCTCACCAATATTGGCAGTGCTGGGAATGATCGATATGCGGTCTATTCGGGGGGAAATGGTACAACGTCGCTTAGATTTAAACTTGACTGTCTCGAATCGGACCAAGTGGCCGTTTTGGATTATAAAGACAGTCTCTCGTTACGTCCAGCGTATGGTACGAAAATAGGTTGGATTCGACGAAAATCTACCAAGCCAATACTACCTGCATTACTCGACTTACCAATTACAGGACTTATATCGAAAGGTATTTCGATTGATCAAGCATGTGAAAGAGTGACCGAAGTATTCACCTCTCATGTAGAGGGAACCTATGGAGTTGGCGAATCCATTGATATTCTAGTCACTTATTCAGCTAGTGTGACTGTTGATGTCACTGGAGGTACACCGACAATAAGTCTCACCACTGGGAATTCTGCAGTGTATCAGTATCTACAAGGAACTAAGACGCTTGTATTTAACTATGTTGTTGGACAATTCGATCATACTGGTCAACTGGAATATCTTGATCGATTTTCCTTAAATACTAATGGTGCTCTTATCAGAAGTTTGGCTACCTCTACACTTTTGTCAACACTCTTACCAATTCCAGAGCTAAGCCAATTTACAAACAGAGACGCTGTCTTTGTTTATACAATGTCTCCTGTCGTTCTCGGGGTATCAACGCGATCTCCGGATGGAATGATTACTGTTGGCGACAGTATTTTTGTGTCCGTGAGATTTGATTTCCCAGTTATCGTTTTGCCGTTGTCGATGGGAGCTGGAATACCTGCGTTGTATTTAAATGCTGGAACGGGAAGTGGGGTCGTTTCATCCTTCGTGGCCGCAGAAGAAAATGTAATTTTTTTCTCTTTCATTGTAGCAGCAGGTCAATCCACCAGAAAACTCGCATACTTTGGTAGATCAGCACTGAAATGCACCGGCGGGTATGGTCTTAACAAAGATCCAGGACAGAGCGCTGGACCACCAACTGCTGTGTTTTTGGGCGACACTTTTGTCACAAGCTGGGCTGAAATATCGTCGGTTTCCAATACACGGCATATACGAGTGAAAATGTTTAACATGGAGCACTTTCCACATTTTTCAAGCTTTGAAGATGGCGATGGGGGCTTATCTACTGTAAACTTTGCCACAGCGACGGATGCAAGTGATCCTCATCTTGTGATTTATTCGTCAAATTTGTACTTAATATGGGTGGAAACTAGCACTGCGACCAATGCTCCAACCCAGATCCGAGTAGCCATTCTTTCAAGCCGTTCAAGCTCAGCTTTGGCGGCTCAGTGGACATTTGTGGATGCTTACCCTGCCACAAATTTTGGAATCAACAAAGACTCAACTGCGAACGCAGCTAGACCTCATGCTGTCGTGCATCACACGAAATTGTACGTAGCATGGCATGAAGATTCAGGTGTGGCTCAGATTCGAGTTGCAGTCTTCAATGGGTTAAATAGTGCTCCAGAATGGGCATTCATCGATGGAAACCACAACGTGCATGGATTAAATTATGATGTCACTCAATCTGCTCAAAATGTGCGGCTGTGCTCATGTGCCTCAAAAGGAAGCACTTTGAACGTTCTGTATGCCGTATGGTCTGAAATGGCTACTTCAACAGGTTCAGCACAAATTCGAGTCGCGTTTCAAAGTGGAAGAGATGGGTTTTCAACTTGGACTTTTATCGATGGGAATGCATCTACCGGACTTAATATTGATACGCAGCAAAACGCAAATTTCCCTTCAATTCAGTGTCTTGGAAACTCAAATGTTGTCGTGGGATGGCAAGAAAGCTCTGGGACTGGTGGGTCGCTTCTTTTTGTCATGATATTTAACGGAAACTTTTCGATGCCACAATGGACACGACTAGATGGCGGTAAATACCTGAATTTCAATCAGTTCCAGCCAGCTCAGAACCTGCAGCTTTCCGTACAAACACATCTCGGAACGAAGGCCTTGTTTGCAACATGGCAAGAATTAGATGTAACCGGAGCAACAACCCAAATTCGAGTTGCTAAGTTACGAGCTGGCGCGATTCCTTCGTGGACATTTATGGACGGAGGAACAAAAGATTCGGTTTTGAACGATGATACATCTCATGCTGCTTCCCATCCGGTCTTATCTTCGACACAATCTCAAGATAGAATAGTGGCACTCTGGACAGAGATACATTCAAGCGGTCAGATTCACGTACGGAGTAGCGTACTGAACGGTGCAGTGAGGGAATGGCAGCCCATCACGCAAGATTGCATTCTCCACAAGTCCTCAACTTCAACTACGTCTGCTAATCTACTTCTTCCCGCACTTAATACACCGGGATCTCTGGATTTTCACCACTCTATTCAAGTTGAAACATCCCAGCCAACGATCGAAAAAGTGTCGCTAGCTGGAGATATCTATCCGGTTATTACGCAAGTAAACTCGATCCAAACTATCGACATTTTTAACATCGAGAGCATCATACAAGGAGAGTACAAACTGATTTATGGATCGAGGGAATCATCATGCATAGATTGGAACGCTCCAGCCACAGGCCTCAGATCGATTAAGTCCGCCTTGCAGACGATAAATGGTCTGTCTTTACAAGTATCTGTCCTGCAGGACCTCACTGCGTTTAATAGTGGATATCGCTACACTGTCACCTTTCTTTTCCCGTCTATGGGTCTTTTGCCACTGAAGGTCAAGACAAATTCAGATCCTGAATGCAAACCATTTTTGTGTACCCCGACTTTCAGTCGCTATCCATGCAACACAAATCTTATCCAGATAAACCATAACGTGGATATTCGCACAGGGGCGGGCATAGTCGATGCTGTGGTACACTTCTCCTTCCCCGTTATCGTATCCACAGGCAGTACAAAATTGAGTTTGGACGTAGGAGCAACCATGGGTGACGCGACTTACACAAGTCGAAATGCTCTACAAGAGTTTGACGTTGGACTTGGTATGTCTAGCCCAGCACTTTCAGGAGGATTTCGCTTATCTTACGGTGACTTTAGTTCCGGAGTAGGAGTAGGACCAATTTACACAACAGAGTGCATTCAACTTTTTTCGATGCATGAAGAAGATGGTATACACGAAATGCGGTCCAAGCTAACCAGAATTGCTGCAATTAATACAATTGGAATTCATTCACTTTCGAGACGAAAGCTTCAGAATGGATATCGCTATATCATCGAGTTTCGGAATAGTGGCGACCTATTAGACTTAGTCCCAGCGGACTCGTCATCTTGTCCTGCCGTTGCTGCAGCTACTCAAACGATCGATATCACGGCTACCTCCGACCTTATAACAGGTGAAGTCAAAATTCAATTTGGAGAGGCCGAGAGTGAGTGCATTCCCTGGAACATTCGCGCGAATGACCATCCCAACTCGATGGAGGCAATCATTAAATATATCGATCGGGACCGGATAATCGCCGTGAAAGTCGAAAAAGATCCGTCAGTATACGTGCATGGAGTAAGATACTACGTTTCCTTTACCCACCAATCAGACGCCCAACAGCCACTTGTAGCCTTCACGGACGCTGGATGTGCAGCATTTACGTGCAGACAGGCTAATGGGGTTGCAGGGCCATGTACGGGGCTTTCAGTGAGCTCTAATGCAGATTTTAAAGTCACACGTGCAGCATCGGAGGCTGTTTCCTTCCGCTACATCATTCAATCTACCGACGAAGCCTTATTTCTTACCTACAAAAGCACGGCAGCATTGACTGGTATGTTTGTTCGATCTTCGATGAATCCAACTCTTGCTGCGTCTTTGACTCTTCCTACACCACCACCTGCTGTGGTAGCCCGTGATGGAATCTCGACACTTGCACTTGTGAAGTCTGGAGATATACCTGTAGTCACTCGTGTTTATTCGACAACGAATGATGATACATACACTGCTGGGGACGTGATACTCATACTCATCGAGTTTTCTGGAACAGTTGTGGTGGAGAATACACCAGTTCTTGAATTGAACTCAAACGGAGAGGCAGTCTATACGTCCGGCAGTGGATCAAATGTGCTGCATTTCTTCTACAAAATTCAAATTGGAGAATCGTCTACAGCCTTAAATTACGCATCAAAATTTTCGCTTCAGACATTTGCTGCTACTACTTTCAAAATTAAGTGCGCACATTGCATTAGCACTTGTATCAGCGCCGAAACGACACTTCCAGCGATATCGAGTGCTGCAAGCTTAGCGGGAAGTAGCAATCTAGTCGTCGATACGACAGTACCTATTATATCCTTAATCACGTCGAGTCGCTCGGATACAGCAATAGGAGACGTTGGCTACGGCCCTGGTGAGATAGTAGATATCATCGTGACTTTTTCGACCGATGTTGCAGTGATTGGAACTCCATCAATAGATTTGAATTCGGGCGGAACTGCAACTTTCACGTTTGGAGGATACCGTCAGGTACTTGACGTTGGAGTGAACTCTATCGTTCCGATCACATCGGGGCAGTTTCAAATTGTTTACAACGGAGAAGTCTCTGACTGCATCGATTTCAACGATGCTGATAGTGCTGCCGCCACTTCATTCAAGTCGCGTCTACTTGAGCTGAAAGCTGTTGCTCGAATTGGTCTTGTGTCTGTCACAAAGACGATGAAGAAGAATGGAAATCGATTCGTTATCGTCTTTGACTCGACAAAAGTTGTTGACGTTCCTTTTGCTATTGATATAGCTTTCTCGAACACGTGCGAGTCACTTCAGCCATCGTCTATATCACAAGAAGCTTTGGACACTCGAAGTACAGATAACAAAATATTGTTTCACTACACTGTTGGAGTTGGCGAGACTGCAGCTATCTTGAATGTGGTGGGCACAAGTATTTCCCTACATGCAGGCATGGCTTCTATCCTACGTCAGGCTAGCTCTCCAAACCTTGCAGCAAACATCAACTTACCCACTTCAACGGCTCCAGAAACTTTAGCACAGACAAAGACACTTCGAATAGACGGAACGCCAGCATCTATTTCCGACATTGTGTGTGATTCTGCACCTGGAACATACGGCGTAGGCTTTCCAACAGTTGCAAGTCCACTAACCATAGCGCCGGGAGAAATTTTATTCCATTTCGTGTTTACTCGCCCAGTTGTAGTCATTGGAGCACCAACTGTCGAGCTAGCAACGGGGTCTTTTCTTCCAAGTGGTAGCTTCATTCCAAATCGCTTTGCTAGATTTATCAATCAGCCGCAACCGAATCAAGTAGCATTTTTGTATCACATTGAAAGCGGTGATTCAAGTTTAAATCTTGCGTTTGCGAGTCTTAATGTCCTCAGCGGCGCCACCATTTACTGCGCATCGTCTACTCTTTCCATCCGAGCATCACTAGAACTTCCGAAACTAACAGTAAGCAATAGTGTGGTGTTAATTGATGCCTTTTCCGTGCCCGCGACAGTGAAACTCGCATCTTCTCATGAGGACGGAGTATACGGCGCAGGCGAGCTGATTGAGATTCAAGTCACCCTTTCAAAACCAGTCATACTGCTATCAGGTCTTAATCGGAATCAGAATTGGCACGCACGATATCCCGTAGCTTTAGAGTATGAAAGCTTCATTTACATCATGTGGACGGAGCATGACGCAGTACACAATCCAGCAAAAAGCGCGCTCTATTTACGAGTATTTTCGAGTGAGACGTTACAGGAAGTGCCTACGGCATCTGTGGCTGCTATCAATCGTGATATCAACACGTTGGTTGGCAAAGCGGTAATGACAGTTTGGAAGAACAAGCTCTATGCAGCATGGGACGAAGACGGGCTGCTTTATTGTGCTCAATTTGAAGGGCTTCTATCCACTTCTCCCTGGACTTTAATGCCAAATATGGGAATCAACAAAAATATACTCATGACCGCTAGTAACCCGGTGCTGATTGTGTATAATCTAGAGCTTGTCGTTGTCTGGCGAGAAATGACACCTTCTGATACCAGTGGCGATTTGATCGGACAGATTCGTGTGGCTGTTCTGAACGACGATACTGACGCACCGCTGTGGATTTTCCATGACAGAAATGAGCTTTACTCGGGTCTAAATCGTAACGTCTCAATGGATGCAGATGACCCCAATGCGGTGGTCTATCGCGGGAGAATGTACGTTTCATGGACAGAAATGACTGCACATGGAGCGTACGAGATTGTGATTGCTCAGCGTAATATTCAGACTCGAGATTACTCTTTTTGGACTTACCTAAATGCTTTTCCTTCAGCGTATCCAGTTGACACGGTTTTATCTGCATATAACCCTCAGTTCGCTGTCCGGCGGAAAGGCCATGAGGATTTGGCACTGCTTATCTCGTGGTATCGAGACAGTACGACCAGCAATATTTCGGAGATCATCACAGATCAAATCTTCGATGTTGATTGGAAAGATTTTGACACTGGGACCATCTTGCAACCAAAAGGAGACAAGAGTTTGTTTTCACCCTCGATAAAACAGAGCTTTGTCACGTGTGGAGACAACATTTACGCATCGTGGCTCGAATCACATGATGTCGATGCTTCATTTGACGTGAAAATGGCCACTTTATCGCCTGAAGCGCATCTTTACACAGGATGGATTCAAGTTGCGAATCAGAGTAGCTTTAACCATGATCCAACGCGTGACGCGATCGACGCAACTCTCGTGTGTTCGACCTCATTAACTCGTAAGTCACAGGCAGGACTGCTATGGACGGAATATGACGGGCACTCAATCAAACTAAGATTCCGTCATGATGCACTTGTGCCTCGAACACCTGCATCCGTGTCCAACGGATCTTTTGGGGAGACGATCGCTGGAGTTCCGATTCTTTTGTTGGAGACCCACTCCACACCTCTTGGCTATGCTACAAGTACTGACACGAGCGGCTTGACGACCACAACACTACACTTCACGTACATTGTTCAGCAAGAGGAATCGTCTCTACACCTGGAAGTCAAGGGGCACGATGCGCTTCAGTTAAATGGTGCCGTCATCCGCGATATCTTCGGCAATGATCCTGATTTATCATTGTCTCCAAACTCCGCAAGCGCACGAAGTTTAAGTCACAATAGCAATTTAATTATTAATACGACGCCACCGACTGTTCTCCATGTGACGGCTCAAAATCCTTCGGAAGAGTATGGAATTGGCCAAGTACTTCAGATTCAAGTGACCTTTTCTTATCCTGTAGTCGTGATTGAAGGAGATGTTGCCAATCCTCCGACAATTTTACTCCATACGGACGAGCTGCATGGAATCTCAAGCTCTCAAGGAGTGGCAACATACACTTCGGGATCCGGCTCAGCTGTTCTGATTTTCGAGTACACGACACACCAAGACGATTATTGTGAGACGTTAGATTACATGAATATAGCGTCGTTAGTCCTAAACGGACGATCGTGGGCTATCAAACGGAACGCTACACGACCTGAAACGGACGCAGATCTCAGTCTTCCACCTGTTAAGTCTCCAAATTCACTTAGTGGTACTCGAACCATTGCGATCAAGCCCACACGACCCCGTGTCTTGCAGTTGAATTTCTTAACTCCTGACGGCACTTATTACCCCGGTGATACAGTCAGTATCGAGATTTTATTCTCGTTGCCTGTCGTCGTGCTTGAATCTCCTGTCTTGCTGTTAGAGACGGGTGGAGAATCGCCCATGCAGGCTACTTTCGAGTCAGGCAATGGTACTTCGACGCTCACGTTTGTATATACTGTGTACGTTGGAGACGTAAGCAGCCGTTTAGATGTGGTCGATGACCGTGCTGAAGACACTCAGGCTCATTTTGTGCAATCACTTCTTCTACCAGGGTCTTCGGAGATCAAGAGGCTGTCGACCAGTCCAGTGACCAGTGCACTCACCGTAATACCCGCTCCTGGAACACCTGGTTCTCTGTCTGCTAGCAGAACGATTAAAATTGACTCATCTCCACCTATTGTTATTGATATTCAATCGTCAGTTGTTGATGGGACGTACGATGTTGGACATCCAATTGACTTATTACTCGTCTTTTCGCGGTCAGTAGTGGTAACGGGAATTCCTGAGGTTCTGCTTAATGTGCTATCCGAATACGGGCGCACAGCGCGGTACGTGGATGGATCCGGTACGAATACACTTCGCTTTACTTATATACCACAAAAAGGAGATAATTCTGGACATCACGCGCTTGATATTCGTGACGAAGATTCTCTCCTTCTTCGCCCGCTTCGTAGTGGAAAAGAGCTCTTGGAAACACCAGCTCAAATTCTGTGTCGCTCATTAAACCCGATCCTAAGTGCTGAGCTTAAACTTCCGATACCAGCAGCTACGGTGCGTGCTGATGCTGTTCGAAGTCTGGTTGGGAATAATCGCAAAATTTTTGTACGGACGGACGGGTACCGAGTAACCGCCTGCCAATCTAATACACCGAATGGAATATTTTCTCCTGGGCATAAAATTGTTCTCTCAGTAATTTTTACCGGTCTTGTTGTCGTTCAAGGTACTCCTCGTTTGAAATTAAATACCAATACGGCCGCTTACGCCGTGTATATTGGGGGATCTGGAACCTCGACTCCCCAATTTGAGTATATTATTGCACTAGGAGATCAAAGCACAAAGCTTGAGGTAGCGTCTCAAAATGCACTTGAACTAAACGGAGGTGCAATTACCGATACGGATGGGGTCAATATACCACTTTTTCTGACACCTCCGACACTAGCCGGAAGTTTATCCTTTTCAGCTCAGCTTGAAATCTCTTCGGCGCCTCCCATAATCAAGCAGGTTTATTGCACAAATAGCAACTATGGTGTTGGGGACGTTCTTTACATTTCTATCGTCTTTTCCCGGAAGGTTGCCGTAATCAACTCTTCTCTTGTGGGTTCTCCAACACTACTGCTTCAATTTGATACAGGCACACGCGCTGCAATGTATACATCGGGGGATAGAACCGATACTCTTGTCTTTAATTATCTAATCGCGAACGGAGATTCTTCGAATCAATTGGATTATGCAGGCACAAATGCACTGACGGGTGATATTCTAGCTTTATCTACCACGCCAATTCTTCCAGCAAACTCAGACCTTCCAATTCCTGGAAGTGAAGGCAGTCTAGCTCATTCTTGTCGTATCCAAGTCATATCGGCTTCTCCCTTTGTTAAAAATGTTCAAGCGCTCAGCCGCGATGGAATGTATGCACTTAGTGATACGATTAGCCTTCAAGTGCGGTTCTCATTCCCTGTCGTTGTAAGTATGACGCAGTCTTGTACGCTTGAACTTGCACTTGGTGGTGTCGAGTTACGAGCAGCAGTTTACGTTGGTGGATCGACCACGACTGACTTGGAATTTAAATACGCTATTCAACCTGAAGACCTGTCAGCGCGCCTTGACTACATTGGAGCAAATAGTTTGCAGTGTACAATTTTTCAGTCAACGTCAAATCCATCTCTTATGGCCTCACCCACGCTACCTTTGTCTGGTGCAGTCCATAGTTTAAGTGTCAACTCAGAGCTTCAAATTAATGCACTCGCACCACGAATTCTCTCGGTTTCGTCCATAACAGCAAACGGAGTTTATGGCGCAGGTCAAATCATTGACATCACCATCACCTTTTCCGAAGCTGTCGTTGTCCCGGGTGATGATGAACTGCGTCTACAACTTGCGATTGCGATGAATGTACCTTTCGATCAACCATATATCGAGCCTTACGCGTATTATGTAAGCGGATCTGGTACAAATGTCTTAAATTTTGCGTACACTACTCGAGTTGGTGACATGGCGCTACCACTGGAATATGCAGGAATTGACGCGCTATCGCTATTGTCCCAAATTGATCATATTCGAGCCGCGGGTGATCCAATACATGCTCGACGTGCTTCGATGCGTCTGCCAGTACCTGGTTCGACAGGAAGTCTGAGCAACAATTGTGATATTCACATCGATACATTAGAGCCACCGAGGGTTGTAAGCGTTGAAAGTCCGATGGCCGATGGCGTCTACACCGCAGGTGATATAGTGACGATCTCAATCAAATTTTCGACTCCGGTGACTGTGAGTGGTCCGACGCCTACGCTGTTACTCGATATAAGTAACATTTACACGTCCGGTACGGACAAGAAGGCCTTGTACGTGTCAGGATCGGGAACCGAAGTGCTGCTGTTTGAGTACACGATTCAAGTTGGAGACCACGCTGATCGGTTGGATTACAAATCTTGTTTTCAAGCGAATCAAAACACTCAACGACGCAGTAAATGGAATAAGTGGATACGTTGCTTTGGTGCAGCGAATGCTCTGCAACTTGGCGGAGTTGGTAGCAGTCTTAAGCGCACTTCAAGTCACCCAATCACAGATGCTGTACTGGATCTCCCTGCACCATTATGCACTGCTTGCGATGTGACGCAGGTAACGCAAGCAACTGATTACATTGAGATCAATTATAACCAAATGTCTGCACGGAAAAATGAAGTAAGTCTTTTGCATCGACGAGCCGCATTTAACATTTACAGCAGCGGATTTCCAAATCACGACACGACATTAACTGAAAAAATTCAAGAGCACAATAACTTCATCGAGTTACAGCGGTATCCCATTCGAAAACCTCAAGCGCTTAGTGTTCCACAAGAACCCGATGCATTTAGCGGTATTTTCTTGAATGGGATATTGTTTAAAAGCGACACCAAAAGTGTCGAGAATATTGACGATTGTGGTGGAGCCGTTGACGCATACGGTCGGTACTTTTACATTTCAGTGCCAACATGTTTGCCGGCTACACCGTCCAAAGATTCAGGGACCTTCACAAATCCAGAAATGAAATCGGAATCCTTTATTATAGCATACGCACTTGACGGATATCCAGTTTACGGCTATTATGACGAAAAGGGAGAGCTTCCGACGGACTTGGACGAATGTCACGGACGAATCCGACCTGATGGGCAGTACATTTATCACCTAGTTCCGCCTCAATTATCTGCATCACCGTACATGCCTTGCCTTAAAGGATTCGATGATGCATCTCAATTTGCGGTGTTTCGCTATCCAGCAAATGTTTCAGAAATTGAAGATTTGTCAGTGTTTGAGCTGGCAAACTTTAACACTTTCGTGATTGAACAAAACTCTGCAACACATGATGTCGAGCCGTGGCTATACTCTGGCGTTGAGGTCACGTTTACGTCAAGGTCTGTGATTGTCCGTAGTACAGGCATTCCTCCTGCCAGGAGTAGCTACGGACCTTTTCCAAATGCGTACAATCGATATAGTGTATGCGAACAAAATCACGTGTTTCAATTCCCTCGAAATCCAGTCATCGCGTCGACTATGACGTCACTACCTAAGGATACACCAATCGGTGTCATGGTCAATGGCATTCCTTTTTACGCGGCGACTTCTGAAGTTTATGGTGGAATAGTGATTGACTCAAAAAATCGGGCATACAAGCTATTGGACAAATGCAATGGGCTAGTTGATGCCGGAGGTGAGTACCGGTATTATGCGTCTCCGGATTGTTTGCTTCACGAACTTGGCGATGAGGCTGGAAAACCATCACCTCTGATAGGCTTTGCATTGGACGGATTTCCGCTGTATGGACCTTACAATGAAGAGGGTCAGATACCTGATGACTTGGATGCGTGCAATGGACGTATAGGTGAGGACGGCACGTACCAGTATCATGTAACTTTTCAAATGCCATACTTGTTGGGCTGCTTTCGCGGCACTCCTGTTATTGACCAGATTACGCTTGACGCAGCGAGTGGCTTGTACCGAAGTCTGAGCTATTCTCATGCGCTAAAAATTAATACAGATCGTCCTCACGTTGCTCATGTCTTCACAAACAAGCGTCCAGGGTCGTACGTCGCAGGTGAGAGTATTGACGTGGTCGTTGAATGGACCACCCCAATTCAAGTGACAACAACAGGAGGGATCCCGTCTCTTGCCATTCAGAACTCTTCAGCTCTTGCAATTTATGATGCAGCACGAAGTTGTGCAGCACAAACCGTTTTCCTCTATGTAATTAAGAGTGACGATGTTTATCTCGAGGATTTTTCGTACGACGTGCGTGCTGCCATTCAACTGAATGGTGGTCGTATAACTCGCCTTGCCCGGTTTCCCATGCTAGACGCTGTTCTCGACCTATTACCTAGCGACTTGATGGACATCGAGCTTATCCGTACGAAATCATCCGGCTTGACGTCTAAGTTTCAGCTAATACGTGACTTACGAGTTGAGCTTCGAGGTTTGTACCATCCCAGAGCACATGATCTTCGTACCCGTGTTTTCCACGGAAACCGTCAGAGTACCATATTTGACGCATGCTGTAAATCGCGTGATGCTTTTGGCGTGCCAGATGTCTTTATCAATCGACAACAATCTGCATCTGAAGCTCGGATCTCGACCAAAGGCGTCGGGTGGGACTATAGCTTTAGTGATTTACGTGGCATGAAAAATTTGGCGCTCGATGGAAGCGCAACGGCATCGCAGAGCTCGATTAGCGGATCTTGTGGTCCAGCAAATGCCATTGATGGAATAAAAAGAGTGGGGTCAGCAGCGCAAACGGTAGCTCGAACTTTGCCTGGGAATGAAAAGACTGGGGCCTCCTGGTGGGAGATGCGCTTCGTCGACCCCGTCATAATAGGAACTGTTCGAATCTGGGTAGACCAAGGCGAAAATAGCTTGCCTGCCATGGTACTAGTACTGCAAGTCGACTCAAGCGATGGAACTTCCGCCGTGACGGGCGATTTTTCTCTGATTTTTTCTACGTCTGAAAGCAAAGAGCTCGAAACGGGACGTATTAACCACAACGCGGTTGCGATGATCGTTGATGAGAATGCTCGAGTTACGACATCGGGTGTTGGGCACGGTGAGTCAATCCAGGCCAAATTATTAGCTCTCGGAAATGCCATGCCTCGACTTTTTATCACTCGCGAGCCTCGGGATACTGTACAATCTCGCAACGGCGCATTTACGTGGCACATTACGTTCCTGGATGATCCACGGCCGAACAGTGCGGTGCTAGCGCCGGGCGTCAATAACATATGTGGCGGCTCGGGTATCGTTCGGCTTGCAGCCCCTCTTCCTATTGACGATGTGAGCGATCCCATCATTTATCGCGATGACAAATCATCTATGTCCAGCACTGGCACTTTAAATGATTCGATGTTTCCGTTTTGGGTCTTCCTGTTCAACGGTCGTACTGAATTGAACACTATCGAGACCTTTGTTGATGCCGTCTCCCGAGCCACCTACTCTTATCGTGTTGCTGAGAATCACGCCAATCGTAGCGTCATTTCAATCGTGGTTCCTTTTGGAATCAAAGCACAGTACGTGCGTCTTATGACAGAACTGCCAGAGGGTATACTATCAATAGTCGAAGTGGAAGTGTTTTCAGAGCAGAGTCATATTTTATCAAAGTACAGAGGTGGCACTCCAGTGCGAACTGCTTATCATCCAGGCGGCATCACATGGTCACCAGAAGAGGAATTTCGCTCAATATTTGGTGGAATGCCTAGCGAAGGAGCGTGGACATTAGCAATTAAGGATATGGCAAACAACGACTCCTTAACGCCCAACACCTCAGAGGGTGGCATCTCGGACTGGGTGCTTCACATCACAAACCAAGCAGATGAAACGTTTACATACTTCATGGACTTTGAAGCTAAAATACACGCACTTCCACGACATGGCACGCTGTTTGTAGGCTTGGATGAGACCGAACGCGATCAACTTGACACTGACAACAATGGAGTTTTAGATTCTATTGAAGCCGATCGACATCTTCGCACGTACTCTCCAAATAATTACCTTGATCTCCCTTCAGATATTCGACATCGTGAACTGAAAGAATTCTTAAAAAGTTTCGAAAAATTTAAAGCGATTCCGATACCGCGTGACCCAAGCGAGCGTCAGCTGCGTATTCCATCTTCAGTTTGCAACTCGGAATGTCTAGCATCAAGTAGGCTGGATCCGTACTTTCATACGGGACTTGAAGGTGACAAAGCATCCAAGTTACTCAGAGTAGTCGGAAATCGTGTTGTTAAATACGTTCCGGACAATGAATTTCGTGGGCTTGACGCTTTTACGTTCTCCGTTGCCGTGGCAGGACACGATTCTCGAATACCAGGAATTGTACAGCTGATAGTAAAGGAATGTGAGGATCCTGAGTGCCGAATTGCAAGATTTCAATTACAGCGTAACTCGTAGTGAATAAGGATGCTATATGTCCTCTAGCGGAAAATTTAACTTTCATAACGAATTTGCGGCTGGTCCATTATCATGTACAATAATAAATTACAAATAAACCGATATAATGGGTACGAGAGCTACAACTTTCGGATCATCCTGTGGGTTCCGGTCGCTTGAATCTCTCTATTTCCAGCAGCTGCAGCTTCTTGTCGGCTTTGTCTGGATCAAGTTTGCGTTATCCTGAATAGGTGTTTGCAACGATGTATGACAATTTACAACCTTCCGTACATTGTCAGAAGTACGATTGGATGATGCAACATACCTGCCATACAAAACTGTTTAGCTAACGATTTATGTCAACATGATTAATGAAGATGAAAGCTGCTTGGATTTGAAAAGAATGCAAATGTCAGATCGACCTGCTTTGCTTTAATACAGCGGATTAACACAGGGGCATTAAAAGAAATGACCAAGCAAAGTCTAAACTTCGATCCAAAGCTGACGTGTATCTGGTGTATCAAGAAACTTCGCATTACGGCAGCATAGGTACGCCATACCAATGAGTAACGCGAGTACACTTGTGACTGCAGTTATAAGTGATTTCGGAAATTGGACATGTTGCGGTCTCGAAGAGCTGTTAGACACCCAGATAGCGCTATAAACAAAATATCCGCACTGAGAAAAGGGTTGATTACCTGTGCAACAAAAAGGGAATATAAAGCACTTTGTTTCTGGGACTTGCCATTTCACCCACATATAATTGTACAGGTTCTGAATATCTTCTTACTCATGGTCAGACAGTATTTGGCTTCTTAGCAATAAACTTGGAGCCAAATTCCACCGTCCATAAGACTCGCATTCTCTACATTTGTTTCTTACTTGCTCAATCATAATATTGCTGAAATTTCTTGGAATGCTGAAACCAAATGTGAGGAATAACTTAACATGTGAATGTTGCACATTTCCAGGAGAACGACGATGAAGTTTTCGAAAGCGTTAAACTGCTCTAAATTAGCCAAATAATCACCAAGGTCAAGATTCTTGCTTGGTTAAGTCTTGGTCAACACCTATGATGCTTTTTGCACAAATCTCCATTTTATCCCAGCGGGTGATCAGCTTACAAATACGATCGGCAATGTGATGGAGTCTATGGATTTTTCTATAGTAATGGTGATATTTCACTTCATAAACAATTAGATTGAAAGACAAAGACCTATCTAAAAAGATTTAAGATGACCGAAAGTGCAGTACCTATTGCAAAATTTGATACGTCATGTTTATCTGATATGACGAGGATAAACCTAATAATATGGTTCGTAATTTGTCTGGCACTTGTAAATAAAACATCAGCAGACTCTCCCTTCCTCACTTCGATATTTTCGTGATAACTATCACTTTAGTAACATGCTCGTTGGCCGATTAGTAGCTCGCCGAATACGCAATTCTGCTAAACAATTCGCACGTTCGCACTTCACGCCTGCTGCCTCGGCCTCACTCTCTGCGTCTTGGGATCGCCCATTTCCTTCTATTTTGGTCCGTTTACTTTATCTTCTGGAGGTATTTTTTTTTTACTATGAACCTAATTCTCGGTCATATTAGGTGTCAAATAATGGTGTCTCGGCCCAAGGATCATTTGCAGAAGCACAGGCTAATTATCTTCAGCCTGACATGGAGGTGGTCAATAAACTTGATGCTTTGTTACACGACAAAAAGATGGGCATCGTTGCTCATTTTTATATGGACCCAGAACTACAAGGTGTTTTATCATCACTTTCTTGGCCCCACACGTTCATCGCTGATTCATTAGCTATGGGTGAAGCGGCAGCCAAAATGGCAAAGAATGGTATTCAGTCTGTGGCTGTACTCGGAGTTGATTTTATGTCGGAGAGTGTTCGTGCCAACTTGGACTCAAATGGTTTTGAGCACATTCCTGTATACCGGCTTGCCGAGCAAAAAATTGGCTGTAGTCTGGCCGAGTCGGCAGAAAAGAAGGCATATCTTGCCTACCTGCAGAAGGCCGCTAAGACGCCGAATAGTCTACACATTGTCTACATTAATACATCGCTTCGCAGTAAAGCTTTTGCGCATGATTTGGTGCCTACGATCACTTGCACATCCTCAAATGTAGTGCAAACTGTGCTTCAGGCGTTTGCCCAAGTACCAGATATCAACGTTTGGTACGGGCCTGACACGTATATGGGTGAAAACTTGCAGCTGATGTTTGAACACATTGCGCAACTTCCAGATGAAAAGATTCGTCAGATTCATTCTCAGCATAATCAAAAATCTGTGAATAATTTGCTCAAGCGCTTTGACTATTTCAAGGAAGGAAATTGCGTTGTGCACCATATGTTTGGTGATAAGGTGACTCAACGTGTTCGAGACGAGTATGGTCACGCTTACCAGACAGCGCATTTTGAAGTGCCTGGCGAAATGTTTGCGCTTGCGATGGAGGCACAGAACGCAGGTCGTGGTGTTGTTGGTTCGACATCTAACATCTTGAACTTTATCAAGGCTAAGACAGCTGAAGCCGTAAGGAATCAAACGGGAGAAAAATTAAGTTTTGTGCTAGGTACAGAGGCGGGAATGATCACTGCTATTGTACGCGGAGTGCAAGAAACACTCAGTTCAAAGCAGGGAGGTGTGAAGCCGGTGGTGGAAATCATTTTTCCTGTTTCGGCGGATGCGATTACGACCGAAGGAGAGGAGTTGGTTCCTGGCGTTGCTGGTGGCGAAGGATGCTCGACTGCTGGTGGCTGCGCTACATGCCCATTTATGAAGATGAATGACATTGACGCCTTGTTTCGTGTGGTTGAAGGCGTTTCTGATGAGGCTTGTAATTTGGATCCGATGGCGAACTTCTACCCTCAAAAGTACAGCGAGCTCATTCGCGGCAAGACTGTCACGAAAGTTGGTGTTCAGCCTATACTTCACATGAAAGCATTTATGGAGAGCCAGAGACTTTCTGATATGTTGGTACAAGACATTCAGACACGGACACCGGGCTCAGGCTGCCAAATTCCATAGAATTGTCGAAGTAGAGATCTAAGCAAAGAGTTTTTGTTGAGAATTTATAATGTGTAGATGATTCTATTTCGAAACGTCGTCAATTAAAGAGAATTCTATAATATCTGTCGGGAAATTAGCTTATGGTTCAAGATTTACAAATACTGAAAAATCTCCAACCTATTTTAATCTGCGTCGGCCAAACTCGCTTCGAAATTTTTGCACCCATTTCTGAAAAATTCTTGTAGACTGGACCAAGCAGTTATTCAAGCTTCTGAGGGTGATTTGTTTTCAACTGCGGTTAGAAGACAGACTTCTTCTTCGAAACATTTCCATGGTAGCATGGCAATCGACGTCTTACCATGTCGATTTGTTGCTCCAAGAAAGACGAGGATAGATCTTGAACAGGTTTCTCTTTAATGCATAATATATCGCTGCCAACGATATCTCTAACAAACAAAAGCAAAACCAGCTTAATAATATTTGCAAGTCTCGAATGATCTACCTCCTCAAAAAATTTACCGGAAAAAGAAGAGAAGCTTGAAGAAATCGCGCAAGATTCTAGCAGAAGCTTGTGATGACTTTTGCGTACAGAAAGCTTGGCTCTCTACTAGGTGAACAAATTTAACCCTACAAGAGTGCAATATACCAAGTTCGAGTAGAATTTGTTGTATTTCGAACATAGATTGCGAACATGTAAATTCGTTGACCGATGCTTGTCTTTGATGCTTGTCTAGCAAGGTCGTACTGGAAAACTAGACATGCTTCATGATTGCATTCGGAGCTTAACATGAAAGTATTCTGTATGAGATGACAAATAAAGTTTGTTTCAAGGTTATGAGCGGTTTATTTCATGCAGTGTATAATTACAAGCTATGGGGTTGCCGTGTATATTGCAAAGTGGAAGCTTAAAATTAAAGTGTCCGCTTCAATTACAAGCAGAACCGAGACCTTATAAAGTAATTAAATCCTGTAGTCATATTAGTCTTAATATAATCAAGAGAGAATAAAAAAAATGCCCAACTTTTGCCATATATAAAAAAATATCCCAACTTTTCA